GGTTTTAGGTTAGCAACTACCCTTGTTGGTCTTGGCCCGCTTGGACAAGCCGTTAGTTCAGGTCAAAATTAAATTATTTCTTCAAACAGAGGCCTTTTGGTGAGTTATCTACAGCAGGTAAGATGTTATTTGTTCATAAGCTTTTCACAGAAATCACTTTCACAAGATTGTTCTTCCGTTTTTCAACCTARGTGTAAAAATATAAAATCAAACTAATTAAAAATCCACAGTGTTTGAGTTTTGTTTCAGCTATGTGAATCCTAAATAAAATATATGGTTGTTGTTTAAATATGTAGAAATATGGGAAATTATCAAAGTTGTCCAATAAAAGGAGTTTAAAGTTGCTGGAAGGCTGCACTCGAACTCTTTACTGCATAACTTAGAATAATAAAGTCATTTTGTTCAGATCATCAGCTCTTAATGAGATGAGTCCACTCCCTCTAAAGAAACATTATGAAAACATGATGCTCTTAGAGTTCATGATATCCTGTTCCACTGGAAGGTCTCATATGGTGCACTAACAAATCATAAAGCTTTAACCAATTTTGCAATTGCTGGTTTTCCAACTTAGTTTTAAAATAAAAAAAACATAACATTATTATTATTATTTTGTTTGTTTTTGTTTGTTTTGTTTTTATTTTATTTTGAAAAAAATAGGGGAGAAAGAACAAAGAATGGATCTTACACTGATTTTTAAACTTTGGCTTCCGCTTTGTTTTTCGATTCATCTGAGGYGTGATGGAGACTCACCGTGCCCGCTGTCCAGAAACTCTGTGATAATGGCRGCGCTGCAGGGGGACCAGGGGCTGGTGCGATTGATCTGAATAAGAGTGGGAGACATCATGTGGTTGTCCTGCAGTTTCCCAAACACGTCTTCACAGGCTTTCACGTTGTCATGCGGCATGTTGAACACATGACCTGTTGGGAAGCGACGAGRTGTCAGGCGTGTCAATAAATACATCCATTTTCTCCACCCGATTCTGCTTTTCAGGTCATGGGGGTCACTAATGCCCAGTCACTGTGTGAGAGGTGGGATACATTCTGGACAGGTCCAAGTATACTCTCACACAGGGACATTTTAGTCACCGATGAACCTAACTTGTATGTTTTGATCTATGAGAGGAAACCAGAGAAAACCCACACATGCAGAGGCAACAGCTCGACCAGCTGAGGGTTGCATACCAAGTTCATGAGCAGTGGTGAAGGCCGAAGGCAGGCCGTCATCTTCAATCACCGAGCAGCTCCTCTTTGGGTCGCACATGGTGCCGACGTCCGCCATACCCAGAGTGTCGCAGGTGGACGCTCCACACAGGTCCTGTGGATTCAAGCAAGACATCAAGTCAGGACCGAGCGGAAAAACAAGGCGGCATAAAACTTTCAAAAACCCATCGTCTGTTTGCTTCAAACTTAACTATAAACAACCAAGAGTTATGTTGTTAAAGGTAAAACCCAATGAGTTATTGCATTTTTCTTCTTGTGCCGCTCCTTTTCGCAGAAAGATGGAACTGGGAAGAAATATACTGAAGAAAAATAACTTGCTTGTGCTTCCAAAGAAATATCAGCACTTGTTGCCAAATGGCTGCACTGTAATTAGGGTTTAAAACTGGATTTATTAAAAATAAATAAATATAAAGGCAACACCTTTTTTTTTTACTGAACTGTCTTTAAAGTTCAGCTTTTAAAAAATCTCCTTGGAAGAGAAAAACACATTTCAACAGATATTTGGAACATTTGTAATTTTGATAAGCTCCTCAATTTTCATGCAAACAAGGTGACATTTACCAAAAGCAACTACAGTTCCAGGCTATTAGCTGGACAATGTCTACAGTTTTGCTTCTGACATTTATTCATTCATCTGTTTACATCATTGAAACTGGGTGCACTGTCGCGTTTTGAGCTTTGGATTTCATCCAAGTGTTTAACAAAGTGTCCAACATTCTTTAATGCTGAAGGTGAATTAATAAGCAAAACAGTCAAATAACTGCTCTGAGTTCAGAAGCGAACCATGACTCTCATAGCAGAAATATGACAGAACTTCATCACCTGGCTCAGACTGAAGTTTATACAAAACTGTCTGCAGCTGAGTCTGRCATTTTGGAGATGTCACCTGGCTGATGGGCTTTAGGAGTTAACTTGATTGAGCACAAACCTATTTTATAACAAGTCATTGAGTGGCCTATAAGCTGTCTTATTTTCTTGTGTTTTGGTCAGACTTGTGTACTGAAGATTGGGAAAACATTTACTTGTGCCTTTCACCACCCTGTCTTTAAAACCTTTTAGTGGTTAACAGTGTTTAGAGCACACCTTCTACTATGAGGTAATGTAGCATTTCCACGGCAGAGCAGAGTTTCCAAATGACCTATTTCTCTACCACTGGTCTTTAAAAGACAATTTTATCCAGTGTCCACTTGGACCTTAACCCTATAATCACAGGACAAACTCAGCTCGAAATGCCACAAAGAACTGCCCATCCGCCTGGTACCAAAACAGCACTTCAGTGCTTCATTTCCATATATGTAGAACTTAAATACTCAGGATCAGATTCGACTTGATTTAATCTCAAACATTCCCTAAAAGTCTTAGGCTGCACCACACACAACAATAAAATATGGTGCCAAGTGAAGACCTTGAGTGCTCTGACAAATCTTTCCAAGAGTAAACCTAAAAAGAAAGAAAAGAAAAGAAAAGAAAAGAAAAGAAAAGAAAAGAAAAGAAAGAAAGAAAACCCACAGTTGTTGACCGGTGCAAATTGAGTCCAGATGTGCTCATGTGCAGAGATGACATGGGTCAGTTGAGTTTAAAAAAAAGGCAACAAGATGAGCAGGGGAGGAGAAACAACTATGACCTAGTTCCCACATCTGTCAGCTTTTGTTGTGTTTTGAGGTTTTCTACAGATCAATAACAAAAGAATTCTAATCATCATTTAAAGATTGTTGTGCTTTTACCTGTTGTGCTTCAGGGAATTCATTCTTTTTAGTCTGAAGTCAACTCAGAGTTCCAGATGTCCAAACATGGACAAACGTCCTTCTTTCTCAGCTCAGTAAAAACCATAGAAGAAACCCCGCCCCTCTCCAAYGGGGAGACCTACAGATTTATGGTTGGATTTAATCTTTCGACCAACTTTTTCTTTTATAGTAATCAGTCTGTAGCATAATGACCTGAGTAATCTTGCAACATTCTTTTCACAGCAATCATGCTGTTTGTGGAATTTTAAGCCCAACCACAGTTGCCTCTGGACATCATCAAGTTGGTCTTCATAAAAGCTGTAAAATTACACTGTGTGCTGGTTAACAGCTCACAACAAGTCAGACTTAACAGCCGAGTTAATATCTGAGTAAACAATAAAGCACTTTAAGTAAACTGACTCATTTAGAAGATGGACAGTTGTCTACATTTTTAACCAGATGAAAGGTCAGTTACCAGCAGAGATGCACGCAATGACACTGTTTGATGTCTGAAATYCTAAGTTCCTTATGTCTGAGGAGACTTTGTCTATAAACAAAAACAAAAATCTAAATGCCAAAGAACTCTATAAAATATATCTGATAGATTTAAAACTCTACAAGTCCTGACAGTCCCTGTAACCAGACTATTGTTTTTTCATAATGAACAATCTAAATAAACTCAATACTGTAGAAAAAGACAGGGCTTTTTTTCCCACACAACAGGCAGGTGTGACCAGATCTGGTGTCAGGCTGGCACTGCTGGCTGGCTTCTGGCATGACAAGTGGTTTATCAACCTGATGTGGGCCAATTCTGGCAATGATGACACTGTTTTTTAAGATGGCATGCCACCACTGGCCTAACTCTGATTTGGTTTAAATGGTCCAAATCTGTCAAAGATGGAAAAAGTCTCACATAGCAATTTTTTTCTGTCCAAGTTATGGGCCAWACAATGCACTAATGCACCAGCACTAGGCCCTGATATGACAAGGAATAACAGCCGTTTGGTGGCCCAGATGTGGTTTGCCAGAGGTGGTTCATGCATGCGCCAGCACCACACAAACCAAACCACAACTGGGTCATTTGTGGCCTTGAAGGATTTGGACCATAACCAAACCAGTTGGGCCAGTTGTGGCATGTCATCTTGAAAACAATGCCATCACTGCCTGACCTGGCCCAGTTGACAAACCACTTGCCATGACAGCAGTCAGGCAGCCTGACACCAGATCTGGCCCACACATTTTTGAAGTCTCCGGGGGTGCTTGTACTGTTTTTGGTTCAACTTCAACCTTATGTTATGTTTGACTAAATTAGTTTCCTATTATTGAGTCTCATCTTCATTAAACTTAACTAATTTAAAATTGATTGTTAAATGAAAGTAATGTGTCAAGATYAATTGTAGATGTCTCATAGTTTAGAAATTGTTTCATTAATTTAACAAGACTAACACAAGTAACACAAAGTTTTCCTTCATACCAAACTGCAACAGCATAGTTCACCTTAGAAAAACTCATTTTAAACATTTTAAAATATTTTTTTCAACCAGTAGTTTTTGACCAATTACTGACGACTCTGGTTCTCATGAACAGAAATTTCTTTCCTTTATTTTTCCAAACACAACAGTCTGAGCCGCCGACGAGAAGCTTTATGTGCAGCTTTTGTTTTCTCTGCTTGTTACAGTTTGTGATGAATGCAGATGAGGTCACCTGAATGCATGTGAACTGAAACAGTGACAGAATCTCTTGATGCCTGTTTTTACTTATTATTTATCCCCCACCCCCGCCGCCACCACCACCACCACCAGTTTTATATTGCAAATTAGATCCACATGACTCACTGTAGGCGGCCTGGTTCGTTTTATTAGGGTCATCTGAACTGGCTGCAGAATTCATGACGTCAGCTCTGTGCATCAGAGTCTGGTAACACTCTGGGTTTTTGTGTTTGAAATATTTTTTGCCATCGAAGCGGAAGAGCGTGATGTATGAACGTACCACAACAAAGGAAATAAAGGCGTTTGTGTCAGAGAGAGCTGTACTTTTGTGAAGGTGCAGCTGAAGTTGTGCAGAACTTCTCCTTCRCAAACAGCTTGATTCACTTTAAAGGGTTGTGACACTGGTGCACCTCTAACCTCAACCAAAGCAGGGTTTTTTTTTCTTTAGGAGCCTGTATAATAAAAAACAGGGAGGGTGGTGGGTAGGACCCCCCACCACCACCACCACCACCCCACCCGAAAAGCCAGAGCAGCATGGGAAGGGCTGGAAGAAACAAGACACTTCCAACAAGTGTATCCCTCAGGGCAATGATGCTCGTTACATTTATAAACACTGCAAGTCATATTTGTGACACGGCCCAAAAGTAACTCAGCACCTTTTTTTTTTCTTTTTGTTACATTTGGCTTCTTACCGGTTTTGAACTTGCACGTTTCTTATTAATTCAACAGATTTTTTTTTCTGTTACTAACCCTGCAGTCGTTAGCCCGTTTCGACCCGAGTCACAAAGGAAGTTGTTCATGTCAMTGACAAGTGAGAGGAGCAATGACTTCATCGCTGACACTGTGTCATTGAGCAAATATGTGGGAGCGCAGATACAAGTCAGAGTGCTCTCTGTAAAACTATACTCTCCTAGGATCCACGAGGAGCAATCAAAACCAGCTCAGCTCTTCTCTGTGGCTCAGATGTGATTTCATGTTTCAGAGCAAACTACTCAGGCGATAAGGTGGATTTGTATGGAACACCAAAACGTT